AACTTGAATCTGTGTATATGTTAAATGAAATTGTTACGTGATCCATGATCCGAATGAATATGGGTCAGATGAGGTGAGAGAGAAATAATAGTGCAATTATAATTTGATTAAACGTTTAATGGAAGGACATATTATGTAAAAAATGATTAGCAAGACATAATAAGGTGGGATGAATGAGAAGTGAATGAATCATGTATGGAGGAGAATAACAATGATTGACGAAACGAAGATTTGTGAGTAAAGATAACAGAGACAATGACATTTGACTGTGAAAGGTCGTGAGTATAATAGTCAAATTAGGTCATTCAATAGCTGAGATTACTATTGATTAATTGGCCTTGAGTTTGGCGAGTGGAGGAGGAGGAGGAGGAGTGATTGAAGATATTTGTTTTATACACAGAGCTAAGGTTTCTTCATCCATATGGTTCCTACCTATTTTATCCATTTGAAGGACTTAAAGTTTGACAAGGTTTGGCAAAATGTTGGTGACTTGATAAATACTTGGAAATGAATGGTTTATACTGGGAGTATGTTATGTCCGGATAAGGATGAGTGGTATATTTCGGAATGCATTTTAGGACCGATACTATGGGTTTAGTTTTATCCTATAATTTTCAATTAACTAAGCTTTTCATATTCATGTCTCTCTTATCATAAGCTTTATTTTAACATATGAACAATTATTATACGATTTACCATTCTTGAATTAGGCTCTCTCATTACCTCCCTCATTCACAGCCACTTTTGGCTAATTCTTGTACAAATGCATGTTTGAAATAAACGACTCATATCGCAGAGGCTTGGATTGGTGTTCTGGACTTAACTGGCTGGGCTAGGTGGGTAGCAGGACCAATAAGGAATTTAGACTACTCGTACGTGTTTTATGCGTCACTGGTCCGATCGATAATTCACTGTTCTCTAATTGACGGTATCGTTACGTTATAGATTAGCAGGGTGCACAGGCCGCAAGTTATAACAGATTATAACTAGTTTGTACTAAATGGGTCAATATAGAGCTGTTCACTTTCTTCACTAAACCACTCTAGGAGGTATTCACGAACACGGGAATTAATCATTATCATTGTCCCTACAACTGAACAAAGAAGGAGTGTTTCATGAAAGTGACTGTTGTCCAGCCGATGCTGACTTTCCGCAGACTGATCACTTTGGAGAGTGAATTGGTATTGTTTTTGAGAAAACGTCAAGGATTCGAAACTCCAAATATGACTCCCATTCTCATGTAAAGGTGTACGGTTTATGGTAACGACAGCGATGAATACGAAACCTTAGAACTATCTACGTATTAGATTCATTTATTTTAAAAACGAATACCTTTTGTTATTTCTTTGTCCGAATAAAGATGTTCAAATTCTGATAAACATCAAAGTTCTGGCTAGGAGATTATATGTTTAGCGCATCGAATTTTACATTACCTACTCACCGTAATTTAGACAATTAACCCAATATAAAATCCATCTTTGTGTCTGATTGGAAGCATTCTGCAGCTCAAGTGTTTACCATCCTCCTTGTGGTTGAAAACACTGACAACCATAAATTTACCCACATATAGAAATTGCAATCTTTTACACATACTCACTCACTCACTCACTACCCAGTGTATTTCGCCTCTTTCGTGTTTGTAAATTTTATTGATTATTAACAATTCATTCTCCCAACAACTGGTGTTCTGGCTTCTGAATAATCACAGTAATACTAGAAGAATTGACCTGACCAAATACTCAGTTAACGGGACATCATATATTGTAACCAAATAAACAGTGAATAACCTCTGCAATGAGTCATCTATCGAAAATAAAGAACCGCTTCATGACTAATCAAATCCACTCATCATTCAACCGATTTCCGACTGACCAACTCACTCAATATCACTTCGTCGTATGTAACTCGTATTGTTTGTATATTTGAAATCATCATGTCATCACTGTCAACGAATTACTTTCATTTGTCATTTCATCCATAACTCAACACTTTCATAGGAATCATTGACAGCATAAAGAATCTGTATTGACTTCTATTAAAAGTAACATTCTAGTGATTCCATAATTACAATGTGAATGATGTGAATGGAATATGGTTGCGTTTGTTTTGCAACTGTCTCTGTAGTGAATCAATGAAATATACAATAGTTTTACTAGAAGGTCGACCTGTATATATCTGTAGTTTACTAATTAATCTCTCAATCTCACTCTTTCTCTTTCACTCTGTCGGTCTCTCTCTTGCTCATTATTCAACATCCCGGTTGTTTACATCTAATTGAGTGCTAATGAATGCGGCTAATCAGTTAAGAACTATTTTTAGTGAACTTAATTATCTAAATTATCTAATTATGTGCTAATTCATTTTAATACCGTTCAGTGTTATTGATCATTTCACGTTGGTTAACTTGTATACTCATCATATACTGATCAACTAAAACAATGAGAAACACCAACACACACATACATATATATCAACACCGATGTTGTTGTGATAGTTTTGACCAATCCGTTTGAACTATATTTGCTCTAATCAATATTGTTGAGTTCAGGTCGCCATTGTTATCTTGTCTGGTGTATCGGCCTATGTTAATGTCGACGCATCAAAATCTGTCTCAAAATAACTCCGTCAATCATGTCCAAAATCACATCGTTATTAGACCACAATACAATCAACTATGTACTAATCTCTACACACACTTCACAATATCGCATATGTGAGAAAATACATAGAGAGAGAGAGTTACAGTAAAGAAACACACTGAATACAATTCGACTGAAATAATACAAGGAATAAAGTTTTCATTCTGAACGAAGCTCATACAAGTCATCCTAGTCGAGTTCCATCATGAATCAATAGAGAAAATGTCACCCACTTATCCTGTCATAGCAAATATTATGAGATATAGACAGTGCATACAATTCCTGTAAGTATAATTTAGTGTGAATAACAAATCAGATGATCTGTTTAGAGTCAAGTGGGATTGTTGATGAACTGGTAAATTGATCTTGGTAAACCACCTGTAAACCAGTGTACACTACATTGAATGAATTTCCTCAAATCACATTATAATCGTATTAGGAATAGTGAAGTGATGACATGATCTACAAAACACATGGGCATATGTATTTAATGATAGTGAGAAATAAACACGTTCTCATGATTGTCGTGACCATTGACAATGCTTCAACTGAACAACCTTAACCCATGAACGATGGATAAACAAATATATTACTGACAAATGGTAACAGTAGACTGATGATCTACTGGTAGTCTATGTCGGATTATCGAATCATACTAATTGTAAGCACACAAAACTCGTTTCATCTTATCTTGAAGGTGAATATCGAGAAAATCACTGACTAGAGTCTCGAATTATGTCTTGTCTGTTATTCTTCATGAAATCTGGATAAAGTAATTTAGGTAAGCAGTACAGATTCTCCATCGAATGTACAATAATAATATACCTACTCAATAACAATTTGTTTAACTAATATCACAAAAACACTCTTACAATTGAAGAGACTATCAGTATTTAATAACGAAATTCAACGATCCAAATGAAATCAAGCAATGATAGACGATTAGTATCCTGATGAATTGAATCATACCAAAGTTGCAATTTCACAGTCGATATATCTCCACACATACATTGTATAGTGATCAGATCAGCCTTTAAATCAAGTCAACTATGTTAACATTTGGTAACTGTTTTCAGAAACCTATGTTGATACTGAAGATTTATTAGATAGAATTTATATTGATTGAGATCATGAACCGACTGATATTAGGTCACTATTCAAAACCCAAAAGCACTGGACGGCCGTTTCGTCCTATTATGGAACTCCTCATCAGTGTACATCCACGATCCCGCTCGCGAGATTCGACGATTCGGGATTCGTGGATTAGTTGAGGTTAGACATGAAAACCGTTGGATACCGGCTCAATGGCTAGAAAGTTAACCATTCACACGCGAAACTGAAGGCCCTGGGTTCGAATCCCACTAAATGGATCGTGGATGTACACTGATAAGTAGTCCCACAATAGGACGGGACGGCCGTTCAGTGCTTTCAGGTTTTCTATGGCGGTCTAACATCAATAGATTCATGATCTTAATCAAAAACTTAATAATCTCCGTAACCCTATACTGAGAATTTATATTGATCGAATTTCTCTTGTAATAAACTATTGTTGGCTTGCCACCATATTACAATCTCCTATCACTTCTATACAACTAATATTAAAGCATATCCATCTGACATGTACTACAAACTTATCATATTGTAGGGCCAGTGAAATGTCACTGAGCCCTAGCCAAATCATCCGGCAGTTGGATCACTGAATGTCGAACAGATCATCGCTCCCTGCCAAGGTCATGTACAAGCAACGCGCATTAGTTAATCATACGCCATGGACTGGCCCATGCGGCAGTGGTCTTACTTTCGCTTGTATCTACTTTAACTAGTATATTTCTGTAATAACGTCCTTTGTGTTGTACAGTCTTCAAAGCATCTATAGTACCTTGTTACGTCAATGGTTTAGTCCACGTAAGGTGCTGACCACGAGGTGTGACTTCGACGTTAGTTGGTTCGTCACACTATTCACGTCTAACTCGAGTTGGCCTCCAATCATTTTGACATAGATCATCTACGTTGGTGATCTACAAAATCATTTAAACAAACTTAATTCATTAGATCTAGTTTTGTGTCAAATATCCATCTTCTAAATTCAATCAAATGAAGTTGAATATAACACAATTACATGAATAGGACATTATATTTGAGTCGTTATAGACTGTATTCACACTGATATATTGTAAGAAAAGTTTGTGGTGAAAGTGAATAACAATCAAATCAACTTGAGGAGAAAGAGATATACATATAGTACAACACATGAACAAATTGTTAAAATAAATAGTCTTATTCTATTTCAATCAGATCCATATTGTTGAACATTTCAATGTAAAGACTATTGTAATCTATTGATGATAAGATTGAACGAATTTAGAACTTGGGTTTATTTCTTCTATACAATTCTACTATAGTTTGTATATTGTTATCACGATTGAGCAAACGAATAAACATATATGATAGAAAAGTCAGAATGAATACACATATCCAAGCAACATAATAAACTAGAAGACGACAACTAATACTCATATTATCTAGAGCTGGATACATACTGTATTGTAATTTATTGATTTGAACTTCTACACTATAGGATAAATAGAAGAATATAATGAATTCATTATCAGAATGGGTATTGTGGAGATGTTAGAAATTTCACTGATTGAAATCATGAGTCAATTGAAGTTAGATTATCATGGAAAACCTGGACATTAACACTGTTGAATGCTGGTTCAGTGGTCTAGTTGGTTAAGCCCCTAGCATGAGACTGATAGGTCCTGGGTTCGAATCTCGTGTGCGTGTGGGGGGGGTGATCGTGGATGTGCACTGCTGAGGAGTCCCATACTAAGACGAAACGGCCATCCAGTACTTTCAGGTTTTCCATGGTAATCTAGCTTCAATTGACTCATGATTTCAACCAATGAATTCATTCATCAACAATATTAAGGTAATGGTAAGACAAAATATGTAAACTCATTCATATTAAGAAAGTAATGAATAGTGAATTGTATACAATATGTCAGTATAAAAGATCAGATATTATAAATAAGTCTCACGTCATTATCATTCAATATTGTACACTTATAGTTACATTATCAATAACATTTATGAGATAAGTTTTAATTTGCTATCAGTACTGATGAATGATAATAAGTTGAGATAGGGAAAATCTTTCTATATAACCTCGATGGAGAATAGTTATATCTTACGCAATTGTTTCAGGTTGATTTAGGAAAGAATAGGGTCTGTTTATCTGCTACAAATGGTTCACAAAATTCTCTTACTTAGAGTTTATTCATAAGTCGATGAACCACCATTGAATTCACTTCGATTAGAATATGCATCATAAATTATTGAGAAATCTCTTCGTGTAGTTGCATTCTCTCAACTGAATCGAATTCGTTACAAAACGTTCAAAAATGTTTTGGATCAGATCAACGATCAAAATACTCAAAGTTCAGTCATTCAACTTGCACAATACAATATCATTAGAAAATAATGAAGATAAGAGTTGGTTTTATCAGTGAAACATCCCTGATCTGATTAGTTACAAACATGAATATGTTGTTATGAAGAAACTTAACTTACAAGATATTGTAAGCGAACAATAGTAGACCGCATATGAGAATTGAAATCAGAAATCTAACTGGTTTCGGTTTCCATAGGAAGGCATCAATCATAATTACCATTGGTACAATTAAATTCTACAACAATAAAATTGGAAGAAGTATATTTCATTTGTGTAAGATTTATATTCTGAAATGTAATGATCACAATTCTATGCTAATTCTGAATGGTTTAGAGTTAGTTACTCGTTACGAATTGAATTATGCGACAGGTTGTCATGGTTCAGTGTAGCAAAATTGTCACAAAAAAACTAGCTCAAAGGGGGGTTCAATTCTATTAGACCATTTCATTAAAATGGAATGTTTGATATTTTGTCGGGCAAGCAATCAATATATTATTATCAGAAGGGGTTTTGTAGAAATTGTAGTAATTTCAGTAGTTGAAATCATGAGTCAATTGAAGCTAGACTACCATGGAAAACCTGTAAGCACTAGACGGTCGTTTCGTCCTGTTGTGGTACTCCTCAGCAATACGCATCCACAACCTCGCCTCACGGGATTCGAACCGGATCATTTGTGAGATAGTAACTCACTGGTGACAATGGTGGATGTGTCGCTCAATTTCGTGGATTAGTTGAAGTGAGACATTAACACCGTTGGATGCCGGCCAGCTCAGTGGTCTAGTGGTTAAGTGCACGCGCGAGATTGATAGGTCCTGGATTCGAATCCCGCGGGCGGGATCATGGATGCCCACTGCTATGGAGTCCCACAATAGGACGAATCAGCCATCCAATACTTCCAGGTTTTCCATAATGATCTAGCTTTAATAGGCTCATGATCTCAACTACTGAATAGATTATTAACATATCCTTTATCAGATATTTGTCTCACGTTGACATCGTTCAATTTCATTGATTACAATATCTCTGTAGAATTTATAGTCAATTCGAAATATATAATCAGAAGATGCTAACTTCTGGCAGGTAATATGAATCAACAATGTTAGAAATCGTTTAACAATTGAAGATTCGCTCCAATACTTTATCATAAGTTCAATTCAGTTCATAACAGCAAGTGTCAAGATAGTTCTGTTTGTAGAATACAATACTTAAGGAGTATTTCATCATAATAGTAAGTATCAAGGTATTCTTATCTATAGAATAGAATACTTAAGGAGTATTTCATTACTTTGTTACACTGCATGACCTGCCATCTTCCACAGAAAACACTTTTGTGAAATATGCTGATGATCTCACTGTATGTATGCCTATCCCTTCCTCTTTACATCCCATAAAAATGAATGAGTTTTTGTCTCGTATTGATTGTTGGTCTGTTGGAAATGGTCTCATACTTAATCCGTCTAAATGTCAAGCTGTTAACTTTAGCATGAGGCATGAACGGAATATAAACACTATTTTGAGAAATCATAATGCTTGTACCATCGGAGACTCTTTGATAAACTCAGTGTCCAAGGTCAACTATCTTGGTGTCACCTTTTCCTCTGATCTGTCTTGGTCTTCCCACGTTTTATCGTTATCGAAGAAGGTTTTCCGTCTGACCTACTACATAAAGAGATTGCATGCTCTTGGAATTACTCGTCATTTACTCTTACAATTTGTCAATTCTTACATATTACCTATTTTTCTTTACTGTTCTCCATTATTCTTTCCCAGGCTTTTGAGAAAAGACTTTGCTGTATTGCGAAGACTGCTGAAGGCAGTTAGCAAGATGTGTGGTGAATCTTCCTAGGTCATAATTAATATGGTTGTGGATAGACATTTAAAATCATGCAAACTCCTGGCAGGTGTTATTTTATCAGATACTAGCCATCCCCTTCACTCTTATCTTTCTCCTTGTATATCTTCTGGTAGAACGAGACGTCAATACATTAAAATCCATGCACGCAAGCAAAAGTATAAAAGTTCTATCATACCTTACTTAGCAAATATACTCTGTGACGAACAGGTTGTTAGAGTTAACCTAGCGTCAATAACCTGCATTCTTAACCATGTTTCTAATTTGAAAAGTTGTACCGTTTTATCGGGTTTTTTTTTCATTTTTTTTGTATTCGTTACTGTTTTTTGTTGTTGTTGCGTAAGTAACTTGTTGAAATACCCTGTGCTGAGAATTCTATATTGTACCAAAACTATAATATTGAATAAAGCCATTAATAATAAATAACAGTAAGTATCTATAGAATACACTACTTAAGGAGTATTTCATTACTGTGTTACACTGACATAAAGAAAGAGTGAATGTATATGATATTTATATTCACCTTCAAGATAAGATGAAACGAGTTTTGTGTGCTTACAATTAGTATGATTCGATAATCCGACATAGACTACCAGTAGATCATCAGTCTGTTGTTACCATTTGTCAGTAATATATTTGTTTATCCATCGTTCATGGGTTAAGGTTGTTCAGTTGAAGCATTGTCAATGGTCACGATAATCATGAGAACGTGTTTATTTCTCATTATTATTAAATACATATGCCAATGTGTCTTGTAGATCATGTCATCACTTCACTATTCCTAATACGATTATAATGTGATTTGAGGAAATTCATTCAATGTAGTGTACACTAGTTTACAGGTGGTTTACCAAGATCAATTTACCAGTTCATCAACAATCCCACTTGACTCTAAACAGATCATCTGATTTGTTATTCATACTAAATTATACTTACAGGAATTGTATGCACTGTCTATATCTCATAATATTTGGTATGACAGGATAAGTGGGTAACATTTTCTTTATTGATTCATGATGGAACTCGACTAGGATGATTGATATGAGCTTCGTTCAGAATGAAAACTTTATTCTTTGTATTATTTCAGTCGAATTGTATTCAGTGTGTTTCTTTACTGTAACTCTCTCTCTCTCTCTCTATGTATTTGTTTAGCTGATATCGCAAAAACACCTTACGATTAAAGAGACTATCAGTAATTAATGACGAAATTCAACGATGCAAATGTATCAAGGTATTCCTATCTATAGAATACACTACTTAAGGAGTATTTCATCATAACAGTAAGTGTCAAGATAGTCCTATCTGTAGAATACACTACTTAAGGAGTATTTCATTACTGTGTTACACTGACATAAAGAAAGAATGAATATATACAAACAAACAAACAAACAACGAAATAAATATACATTCAATGATAACTTACACATATATAATTGAACCATAATGGTAATTTCTTCAATTCTGGATTACAAGTTAAAATGCCCGGATGTAATACCATAACTAATAAATACATCCATAAAGCTACCTAATCCCATAATTCATTATAGATCAATCAAAATATACATAACTTACCCAACTATAAGTTAATACAAGTACATAGAAATAACTATGTAGTTTATCCCATTTTAACCATTGAAATAATGTAGCTGTAAGAAAGTATCCAATGGATAGACCCTATATAATAATAATAATAATAATCAATGTAATAGGTCAATCACTACTACTTACCAATGTAATCACAGTAAGTGATTTAAATAAACTAACCAATTTCACAAAATCAACATTCTCATTTGGATAGAAATATTGATAACCCATCACTGTAATAATAATTAATGAAGTTAGAATTAATAAACGATAAATAATAGTGATGAATAGGGTTAGGGGATATTTTGATAAGATTGTTTTAATCGTCATATTCAGAGAATGATAGGATGATGAATAGGACTTGTATATTAGATGTATTAGATCACGTCTATAATAGTTCTTATTGTAATAACGTCTGATTTATTTATATTAGATTATTCCATTGTATACACTAGTAATTGGAGAATAAGTGTATTCATTATTTAGTACAGACATATATACCCATTTAACCGATAAAAGTAGTTTATATAATTAGTTATAATGACTCAAGATGATAATTAAATGAGTCTCTGAAATGATCTTTTTGAAAATATGTTAAGAATGTTTATATTAATTAAGCATGATTGAGATAACTAACTAACTAACTAACTAACTAACTTAGCACTTTGGAAATATTATGAATTGTATTGATGTTCTCGGTGTTGTATCTGAGACTATTGCCTTTATTCTTTGTTGTATGTTGTTGTGGCTTACACTAGTCTGTATGTATAAGATAGAATGGTCAGATCATCTACAAAATCGAAATATTCTAATTGATTATGTGTTGTTCATTGTATTCCAAGATTTCTCTCAGATGTTAAGGTTTTCAGAATTCAGTCAACTACCAGAAGAAAGAGAAAGGGGGAGAGTTGACAGCTTTGTCTAATTTCAGTTCTTAGTTGGAATGCATCTGTCAGCTATTCACCATGCACTACTTTATACTATAGTTCGTTGTATGAATTCCGGATAATGTTGACAACGTTCTCAGGTATAATATAGTGTCAAAAAGGATCTCATAAGATCCTCCTATACACACAGTCAAATGCTTTGTCTTAATCGAGGAAGTTGACGAATTCCATTTAATTAATTGCTTGACAATGATCCGTGGTGTCACGATTTGGTTTGTGCATGACTGATCCTTACGGAATCTAGTCTGTTGATCTCGAAGTTGGGCGTCTACTGAGTCTTTCGTTTGGTTCAGCAACACACTATTGGAAACGTTTTTTACTACTGACAGTAGTTCTGACCGTAGCTGCAACCTTGACGTGGTGGTCAGGCTTGCCTATAGTGATGACCCGACCGAGCTATATTGGCTGGAACATTTGTTCCTGTAGGTTCTACCATGCCAGGCAGGTCGATAGGAGAACGGTAAGACTAAAAGCAGCAACTCAAGGTCTGAGGGCGAAGTTGTACTGTCGACTGTAAAGGGGTGTGGCAGCAGTAAGGTGTTTCTCTCGAACAACCAGCATCTGCAGCGATGCTGCTTTCTCACAAGCAAGGTTGGGGTTAGAAAAGGTCGACCCTAAAAACGTCACGCCTCACCTTACCTCACCGATTTCCGTCCGCAGCGGTAAGGCTAATACGTCAAAAACCTCTCAAGAAAAAACAGTGCGCGACCGGCCTCAGGCAGTTGTCCCTCGGGCTCTACGGTCACGATCCCAGGTCGATAAGGTCAACAGTAATCCAACTTCCTTTTCAGGTTCCTCAAGAAATACCCTTCCACAGTGTGGGCAGCCGGGAAGTGACATCAGCCCTCATACCCGTAACAGCACACGACACCATCCTACACCTCCTAATACCTCTCTTATCTCCCCGACGAACCCTTCTCACGTCCCTTCATCACCTCGCAGAACTAGGCCAAACGATTCTAGTACGCGGAATGTTATTCCTGGTCTCCTGAAATCACATTCTAAACTACACGTAGGAGCTTTCAACGTTCGAACAATGTACCAAATAGGACAACAGGCTTCCTTAGATAGAACTTTAAAATCTCGCACCATCAATGTGTGCTGCGTTTCCGAAACACGTATACAGGATCCGAGTAGTGTCATTCATCTGACCTCATCATGTCAAAATAAAGAACCGACTCGATTCACGCTTCGTGTATCTGGAAGCCCTCATGCTACTTCCCGTGGTCTCGCTGGCGTAGGTATAGCATTGAGTCGCAGGGCAGAACTAGCTCTCTTAGACTGGATTCTAGTAGACAGTCGTTTGTGCGCTGTCCGACTTAACGGAACAGTAAGGACTCGGAAAGATAGGGACACTGGTCGTTGCCCCTTCGTCGTCTCTGCCTATTCTCCCACTGACTACAGCTCAAATGATGCTAAAGATGAGTTTTACAGAGAGCTTCCTCGACCTTCTCCGAAAAGCTGAGCGCTCTGATGTAGTAATAGTGTCTGGTGACTTTAATGCTCAAGTAGGTAAACTAAGGGAAAAGGGAAGATACCGGGTTGGATCATATGGTGTCGTGTCTCAAAGAACAAATAATGGCAACCGTCTGTTGCAGCTATGTTCAGATAACTACCCGTTTCTAGCAAATACTAACTTTAAGCATAAGGAAAATCATCTTTTGACATGGCGATCCTCGAATTTGCCCAAACGTTGGACACAAATCGATTACATCGCTCGCCATCAGCCACCGATGGAGGGGTTCGATAGAAGACTGTCGCCCATTCTGGATCACATGCTTAGACTCAGATCATGCTCTAGTGTGAGTGCGTATTTGTCTATGTCTTAGTGGACGTAGGAAAAATGCTGCAAGGAAACCTCTTAGGGTCCTACTTAATGATAGTCAAGCTAAGAGTATATTTCAGGACCAACTAGAAGAACAGTTAGGCAGCCATGTATGTGATGCCCATCCCGAGGCAACGTGAAATGATATCCGAAATGCTGTGGAAACAGCAGTGATATCTGTTAGCACGGTAAACCATAAGGTTAGAGAGAAACACTGGATCTCATCAGCATCTACCGCAGTGAGAGATGCTTGAAAACTCATATCATCTGGCACTGAACATAACAAAGAGCGGAGTCAGCTAAAGAGCAATCTGACAAGAAGCCTACGCAGTGATCGTGGACAGTGGTGGTTAGTGAAAGCAAGAGAGATGGGCGGAAAAGACATCGGCAATAGATAACAGCAGACAACTGTTCGATCGCGTTAAGGAAACCGTTATTAGGAACACGACTGTTAGCGAAACAATTTCAGAAAAGCATGGACATATTATACATTTTCAATCCAGCAGATTGGATCGATGGGGAGAACATTTTAGGGATCAGTTCAACTGGCCTTCAACCACACTTCGGTTTCTCACGATCTCCAGTCTACCTGCATGGCAAGTTAATGTAGGTCCTCCGACTCGTTACGAAGTTGAAAAATCTATAGGAAATTTGAAGCGAGGGAGAGCAGCATGTCCTGACATGTTTACCCCTGAGGTTTTTTAGGATGGTGGTTCAGTATTGGTATTGATAGGAAGTGACATTGATAGGAAGGTCTGTACATGCTGCTTCAATATCCAATGGATTCAATGGAGCTGGTCTACTCAGTATTCTACCCATCTGTTCCTCTGTTCTTGCATCTCAGTGATAATTTTGCGTTCGTTGTCCTTCACTAGTCTCTCTGTTTTACTATATTTCCTTATTAGTTTATTCGTTCTATCCCATTGTTGTCTCATATTTCCTACTCTTGCAACTTTTCTTCTGTCGTTGGTAGCTCTTTCACTTATTTCTGCTTTTCGGTTGTAATGCTTCTCTTCACTTGCTTGTTTGCTTCTGTGTATTCGGTTTGTGCCTTGACTTTCTCTGCTCTTGTTCGGCTGTTGTTAATTGCTATCTTCTTATCCTTCTTTTCTTGGATCTTGTCTAGGATTTCGGTGGAGATCCATTCCTTATGATGGTGCTTCTTGAGGCACAGCACCTTCCGAAACGTTGTATTTGATGCTTCTTTGATCCTTTTCCAGTTGTCCTACATCGTAGCCTCTTCATCTTTCACAATTTTTAATAGGGCTTGAAATCTTTTGTTGAGAGTTATCTTGAATTCATTGAATTTCATGGTATATGGAAAGAAGACTGCATTAAACCTTTGTACCGCTATTTCTGAAGTTGTTTAATGGCTCTTCAGTTACAGTTTCATCTTCGCCACAAACAGGTGGTGGTTTAAAGCGATGTCAGATCCTCTCCTGGTTCTAGCGTCTTCCATTGGCCTTATGGATATTTAATTGATAACAATATGATCTGTCTGGTTCTCCGTGGTGTGATCCGGTGAGATCCATGTAGCTTTGCGTATGCGTTTGTGTGGGAATATTGTGCTTTTAGGTCTCCCATCAAGATAATCATATTATTTTTGGGCACTTTGCTATGATTACTTGCAGCCTCTCATAGCAATGATCTTTAATGTTGTCCTTGCTATCATTGTGTTGTGAACAGGAAAACAAGAAGCCCTGACAATTTACGAAAGTTATTTTTCGGGACGTTATTCCATTTTATGCAAAGCTTGTAAAGCACTGACATTTATTTTTGTACCTAATCTATTCTACAGAACATAAGCTTTCGTTCGATGTATGATTCATTGCCACACCCTTTTCTGTTCCGAAGCTATTATAATCTAAACATAATATTTTGTACTCTATTTCCTACGCTAATTCCCGTCTTTGGACATAATTGTATTTTTTCCTAATTATTGTACGTTGTGGTCAGGATACTCACTTATTTACTCATGTACCTTTTTACACTAATCCGAACTCGACTGAAATCAGGATATCAGGAATAGATCGAGCAGTGTTCCAGTTGTCTTGTCTTCTCTCATGCGCGTGCTTGTCAGCCAATCAGGTGATAGAATAGTTTTCTCTCTACCCCGTTTCGAACTCACGCGTACTATCCTCAAGGTTAGTTCGGTCAGCCTATCGCATCAAGGTCTTAATCTGGATTAGATAAGTATCCTCAGCACCAAAAGTGAGTAGACAGACCAAAGGACATAACACGTTGGTAGGTGCATAACATTGGATAACATTCGCCGTGATTCTCCCGTTCTTTGTTTTGAAGAATGCTTTGATGATACTGGATCCGTGAGATTCCCAACTAATAAGTGCATTTCGTGATTCTTTAGACAACATCAGTTTGGGTCCAATGGGTTTTGCTGATTCCGAGTACTGACAAGTTGTATCTCCCCATTTTCACAGCCATTTGACTAGTCCTCACGG